GTGAAATTAAATGTGATTTCTGTCAAAGTACTTTCCAAGTTCAAGCTTCAAAATATGTTAAAGGAGATCCTCCATACATTGCTTCTGTGGGTAAAGTGAATTAGTGAAATCAGTGAATAAACTAAAGCTCGAGATAAACTGATTGGAAAAAAGGAAATATAAAGTAAAGTATTAGTATGGTATAGTAGTGGCAGGTTGTTGCTTAAGACAGGAATACTGTATTTTCCTGCTGGGTAGGTATATGTGAATAGTAAAAGTTCATTTACTTCATACTCCCTTACCCTTTGGGCAAAGTTGGCCCACTTCTATTTCATGAATTTGTATCTGATCATCTGTCACTAGATGTAAAATAATCACTTATCAAGCAATATTTTCACGTGTTATTCTTATTTTATCATATTCGTTTGATAGGCCACTGGGATGGGTTTCAACCATTTCGATCCAGCTACCAATCAACTGGTGATTATCAATTTTAGTGGCTAGTTATTGTAACATATATAAACGTACTGACTAGGCAGGCCTCAAAGTGCTGGCCCAGTGACCACTAAGATTTTACTAGCTAGGTATTATTAATGTGGGACATACAGGTCCAGTAGCAGTAGAATTACTAGCCAAGGAAGACTTGAAATATTTGCAACAATAATTATTTCATACATCATTTTACCAAGGATGTTTTGTTTCATTCTGGTAATTCGTGGCAAAGAAAATGCTGTCATTTGATTTTAGTAATAGAGAAAAAAACATTGATGAAAATCAGATAGATGAAATCAAATCCCTATGCCGATTTTATCATACACAATTTTGGCCATACAGGAGAGCATATCCATTTCAAATAATTGAAATTATGTCATTTATCATCAGCATGTCTTGTTGTATGAGGCACAACAGCAGGTAGTATGACAATCAACCCAATTGTGTTAGAGGCTATATCTGGATTAGGTGTTTTTCTGAAGACTTAGAGTGAAATAAAAAATTATAAAAAAATCGAGCAATGTCGTTTTGCTTACACATGAAAAAATACTGGTTGATTTGCGATCCTTTAGAAGAGGCAAATTATACGACGATCAATCTTCATCTATACGTGTTCTTTAGTTGACAAAAGGGATAAGCATCATTCACAAAATATATCTCCGAATGATCTCCTCTATTCTATGAACTATAATTGAATTAATTTTATTCCAATATTTTTCATAAAATATTAATGTTCTTTTTATTCTTTCCTGGAATGTCTTTATAAGATAATCCTATAAGTTTAAACACTTTTCTCAAAACAAATCTTGTATTAATCATTCTCTAATTTTGTTAATTTGAGGAATGATACTCTCTATTTCATCTAAAATTCTCATTATCTTATTCTTAATTCAACAGATACATTTATATTAAATTCACTACTCAATTCCATAAGGACATTCTCGATATCATACTTTCTATGATAGACTGATTTAACGTTCAATCCTAAAGCAATTATTATAATAATCAACAAATTCAATTACCACTTCATACCCATCAACCTTACCACAATTCTTAGACATAAGCTCCATCAACATTTTCATCATCCATCATCACAAAACATGGTTCGTTTTTCAACGCTCTTTCTTCATTACTAGGTGTTACATTATTTTTATTATCAATGGCAACAGCATCTTTCAATTGTGAGTCATCAATGAAAGGATCTATGTAATGATAATCATTATTCTTAAAATAGGATTATACATTGTTTTGACATACAAATCACAAGTGCATTTAACATTGGCGTGACATGGTCACATTGAACATGTTTCCCCAATGTACTGTAACCATATTGTGATGACGTGGCATGGTAGCATAGAACATCTCCCGTAGAATAGTAGCTAGGCAGTTTGGGCATAGTCTTTTTGAAACTGTGCCCCCATCCCCAACTACTAGACTACTTACTTAATTGATTTATTGTAACAGGAAAGTTGATATCACTAATATCAAGCTCATCTTTGTATTTCAAATATTTATTTTGGCGTTGTTGGTCTTGAACAATTTCTGAGTAGTACTCATGAAAAAATTATCCTAATAAAAACACATTATTATTATTCCTAATGTTGATAATTCCTTTTCTATAGTTTTCAGTTCTATAGTTAAATCAATATAAGATGATCCATCAAAGTATTTCTCTATTGTTCGTATGTAATTAAATCTGATAATTCCTTATAAATGGATGAAAAAAGCCTTCTACTCTACTTGTCAGTTTATCAAATGTATTTTATATTATGTTCTTAATGTTTTTATTTTTATTACCGCTAAAAAATGTATTTTCTATAATAGTTTTTAGTTTACTGCTAATTAAGTCAAATGAAATATTAGTACCACGATTGATCTTTGTTTTACCATTTTCATTGAAATTATTATTAATCAAATTGAATAGTGGTTCATTAACGTGTGACAATTTTGAAATTATTAAAAATTATCAATAGTACTAATTTTGCATCCATTGTATAGAATTATTTCAAAATTTCTATATCAATTAAAATTTCTGATACGTCTCGTTTTATCATTCTTTCTTTTAATTCTTCCTCATCTTTCTGAACTTGAAACAATTTGTTCTTTTACTTCATCTTTCTCATGAACGAATATGTAATTGGCATTTTGCTTGTCTTTTCGAACTTTCTTAATGCTTTCAATCTGATCGTAGGTTAGTAGTTGTAACAAAAGTTCCTGACAAAGGTACAGTTTTTTTCTTGAGAAAAGGTTTTATATTTCTTTATTTGACTAAATTTCCTCTTTTGGAAGAACGTTTTTCTTTTTCCTTTGTAAAAGTTTAGCGATATGTTTATTTGATCCAATTTTATCTTTTTGTACATTAAAACTTTTATAAGTTTCTCGTGAGAATTTAAAAGCTTGTCTACTTTGATTACTACATATTATTGACGCAAATTTTCTTGACGCATCTTTATTTAGCCAGCGCAAACAGAATTTGAATAAATCACCATAAAATAATACAAATGAAATGGCAATAATATGTATTTTCATTCCTATGATGGCAGCAACATGGCGATACTGAAACAAATAAGAAACAAAATAGTTATTTTCATTGCCCTACAACATCCAAAATTCAGTGTGTATTATATTATATATCGTCAATTTGTAAAACGTAATTGTGAATTTTTTGTACTTTTGTAATGAATATCCTAATGAAAAAGACATGTTTATGACAAGCCAAAAATCGCAAAACTTTAAATTTTCTAATATTTCTAGTATTTCCTAAAATTCAGAGAGAAGCAAATTGATCGCCTAAATGACACGATTAGAGAAATATGTTCGAGTTAATTAAATTGTGTATGTAGTAGCCAATAGTATAGTGGTGCTCTGCCACCCCTATGTTCTCTATCATCAACCATTTTAACCAGTTGAACAAATTCAGCTAGATTAAGCAGTTTTGTAGAGGTTTACTGTTTACGCTAGCTTGACAATTTTAAGTTAGTGCATTTTTGTGCATTTTTTCCAGATAAACAATTTTGGGGTCTTTGATAAATTTGACTAATTTGACCAGTTGAACCAATTCAGTTACTCTGTGTATTTTGTCCAGTTCAATTATTTCAGCTAGTTTGACAATTTTTAAACAGTTGAACCAATTCAGCTCGTTGTGCACCCGTTTCTTTACCATATTAACCAGTTGAACAAATTCAGCTAGTTTTTGTATTTTGTCCAGTTGAACCAATTCTGCTAGTTTGTGCTTTTTTTCGGCTGCTTTCATTATTTTTTCTTGTTAAACCAATTCGGCTAGATATTGCAGTTTGTGCCAGTAGACTGTTTTTGCTAGTTTTATCATTTTAACTAGTTTAATCAATTCAGCTTGTGAGTGCAATTTGTCCAGTTGAACCATTTTAGGATAACCCTTCATCACTTTCCAAAACTCTCTCTATCAGTTTCATTGGAACGTCTACTCTGCTTACCCAAATGAGTGCTCTCTATTGAATGTAAGTTCACTTTTGAGGTAGACTTCTTTCCATTCCAACTGTACAAGTTCTAGAACACGAAAAAGTACTGGGTCTCTATGGTCTGCTCTCTCAACTCTTGTCCTGTGACAGGTAAGGCCTCATCAGGTATTCTCGCTTGAGTAAGATGAGAGAGAGCATCACAATTGACATGCTATTTTGTACCTCAGAACTTAATGTGGTATGAGTGAGCACCTGGAAAAAGTTATGAGCATTGTATTGTTGCTGCTGTGATAACTGGCGCCACCTCTCCACATCCATTATGTACTTCAAGGGTTGGTGGTCAAGAGATTGGTGTAGTCCCTATATAGAGATGACATGTGCCAAATACTCCACAGAATTCTAAGAAACTTAGACTTTTCTCTTCAACACTGCAACGAGCTGCTCAAGGTGTTCCTCCATGGTCCTATCCATCACAATAATTTTGTCCAGGTAGCGGGAAACCCATAAACTACCTTCAGGGACCTGGTCCAAGGCACTTTACCAGATGGCTGGTGCTAAAACCACACTGTACAATAAGTGTAAGAGCCAATCCAGCTGAATAGACTCGAACTATTGTTATGGAAAATGCGTTGTGTTACAGAATTACTAAATGTAGAATTGAGGAAGTTTCTAGAATGATTAGTCATGCTGACTCATTGAGAACTCTTAATGGAACTTTCTGGAAACCTTAGTCAGCATAATTTCTTATTATGTAATAGCACTGCAATGTTACTCAAAATAGTTGTATTACAGATCTCTGGAATGTTCTAGAACATCTTGTAAAACATATATAAGGAGTTGCGACTAGTTAAAGCCAGTCTTTTCTTGAGTGAGCCTTTCTTTGAGAGCAAAGCTAGTGTCTGTACAGAGCCGGAGAGCGTGAATCATTGGGATTCTTAATTGTTACTGGAATTGTCAGCCGTGTGGAAGGCTA